TACTGTTTGTGAATACACAGATCTGCAGTTTTAAACACTTAGGTACTTGCTTCATCAAATGCTTTGAATTTAACATTTTCATGTTATTACCATGAAACATGAAGGCTGTTTCAACTCGATACGCCTTTCGTATGATATTCGAGAGGGAATAGCAGTTTGTGGTTTTGGGAAATTTCAACTTGCTTAACATAAATATGTGACCGGCTAATATGATCGATCAAATGATGTCATAATAAAAAAGTGGAATGAACAAGAATGCCCTATATATGATAAAGACAACACGGATGAATAAATTAGATTATTCAATGCACGCCGTAAAACTCGTTTATTTCAAGTTTACAGAAGAAAACTGTTCACGATGAGATGATGCCCGTGACGAGCATTATATTTTCGAAGCAGATAGTATAATTTCTGAGATGATGAAGAGGAATGCTTTGAAGAAAATTACTTTTGGAAAATTGGTTGCCATTGTTCATCGATGGTCGTTTGAATGCGTACAGAGCATGTGTCAGAACGAGAGTACTCGGCCTGATCTGTGGCACGCACTATCAAAAGGGCTTCAGAATGCTCGTGAGCAGAAAGCGCCTTGACTGTGCTCACCTCACCACTGACTCGATTGATTGTGAAATAACCGTAATCGTTGCCTTAAATTCAAACTCACTTAGACAGATTTCATTTCCTTGGCGTACCTTTGCTTTATTATGCTACAGGAGAGTGTGTTGCCCTGAGATTGGCACTTATAAGATGGAGAACAGAAGAACAAATTGAGAAAAATATTACATATCCTAAAATACTTTCAAATAACTGCAACGTACCCGCAGCGATAGCGTATCGAATCACACCATTCTGACCATTGTCGGGATCATGTGCTTGTACATGAACAGCCACAGTACCAATTGGAGAGCTGCAATGAACTTATAGCGAGTGAGGTAATTGGAAAGAAGGAATTTACAGCGAGATTCATGGAAAATTGTTCGGCATTGCTTCATGAAAAACGCTATTTTGTAGTTTTTTTTGTGAAAAAATGGATTGTTGCAGAAGATGACAATGGCTGCGCTCATTTACTTACCTCGCAAGAATTTTAACGGAGTATTCGGATTGTAAGAATTTGGGTGGATGGTCGTTTTCGTCGAGTAACGTTACACTCAATGTCGCATAATTTGACATTTGTCCACTGCGTGCTGCGATGATGATTGAAAAGTCGCGTGCAACTTCATTACCCAACGCTTCCATTACAACCACATTACCCGAACTGAAATTTATATAATTCCGTTGGCAGATCTGTTATGTCAATAAATTAAAAAATTTTGAAAGAAAGTGAGTAACATTTCAGCCAGATAACAAAACA